CCGAATAGCAGGACGGATAATGGATATATAATCGCTCGTACGATACAGAGAGCCGTCCTTGTACTCTCTCGTATCCATCGTACGTCTTTCCCTACACCTGGGGAAATCATCCCGAACGGCAGATCTGTCGCGACCACCTGCGACACCGTCAGTTGCGACTCTGTCACAACACCCTGCAAAGGGGGGGCTTAGACCACGACAATGCCGTTTGCCGAGTCTCGATGAAGAAATAAGATCATATCAATACTAAGATAAAATTAAAATAGACGCTTCGTCTTCCCCCCCCCCCCCCCCCCCCCCCCCCCCCCCCCCACTTTCCTCAAAAATCCATCACGTAGAGGGAGAGGAACAGTAGTAACCTGACAGCACCCCGCAGTATCGTGACCTCATCATCACCAAAGGACTGTACCCCTTCGCGCTCAAGCCCGACACTGTTCCCGGCTCGGACGGAGCGGGTGACGTCGTGGCCGTGGGCAGGAATGTCCGCCGCTTCAAGGTCGGAGACAAGGTCGTCACCCTCTTCAACCAGGGCCACATCGGCGGCGAGCTGGACCAGACGACTGCCGCCACCGGTCTGGGCGGCGTCATCGACGGCACCCTGCGTGAGTACGGCGCCTTTGAGGAGAACGGGCTCGTGCCCCTCCCCAGGGGTCTCGACTACGTCGAGGGCGCCACGCTGACCTGCGCCGGCCTGACGGCCTGGAACGGCCTGTACGGCCTCGAGGGCAAGCGCCTCACCCCCGGACAGTGGGTCCTCACCCAGGGCACCGGCGGCGTGTCCATCTTCGCCGTGCAGTTCGCCAAGGCGGCCGGCGCCAGGGTCATCGCCACCACCAGCTCCGCCGACAGGGCCGGGCTCCTCAGGAAGCTGGGCGCCGACCACATCATCAACTACCGCGAGAAGGCCGACTGGGGTGAGGAGGCCCGCAGCATCACCGGCGGCGTCGGCGTCGACCACGTCATCGAGGTAGCCGGCCCCACGTCCATGGCCCAGAGCCTCAAGGCTGTCCGCATCGGCGGCGTCATCAGCATCATCGGCTTCGTCGGCGGTGCCGCCAGGGCCGAGGGCGAGCCCGGCTTCCTCGACAGCCTCGTCAGCATGTGCACCGTCAGAGGCTTCCTCGTCGGCAGCAGGACCCAGATGGAGGAGATGAACCTCGCCATCGAGGGCAACATCGAGAAGCTCCGCCCCGTCGTCGACTCCAAGACCTTCACCCTCGACCAGGTCAAGGAGGCCTACGAGTACCAGTGGTCTGGTAAGCACCAATCCAAGGTCGGCATCAAGATTGCCTAGTGCCGTCCCCCTATCCAGTGCATTGGGTGGAGAGGGGGGGGGGGAGGGGGGAGATAGCTATTACATGAATGATGAAAAGATTGAAATCCATCATCCTCTTCGCACAAGACACCACCACAAGAACAGAAAAAAACTTTGTCAAGTGTTTGCATCCTTTCTATAGAACGCCATATACACACACTTATGGCTCCCCTTTATCCTCTATTGATGCCTCCGGCCGCCCTACCGGGGGTTCTTCTCGCGCCGCTCGCTTTTCCCGGTGCGTCGTCATAACACTCTGCTGGGTTCGACAATGCCTCGGGCGGTTCTTCCTACCGGGGTGGTCTTCCTAGCTGCCCTCGCACGCACGGTACATGATGTATATCCTACACGTCATCTCATTTTCCCCCCGTCGGTACGTACGAGTAGAGACTGCCGTCCCGTGTGTACGTAAAATAGGACACGACAGCTTTACCCATCCTTTTATTTTTCCAAACGTACACGCAACGGAGTACGGAGTAGTATAATGGCAAGACTGGACGGTATAACCACCCAACACACACACACACACACAAAGGCAAACCTGAATATACACAAATGTGGTGAAGTATTTACCCGAGGGTGGGCCTGCTTTTTTTCTCATGTCCAGATGGCCATGAGAGGCATAGGAAAGCATGTTTATATATACGTAAGGGGGGTGGGAATAAAAAAAAATAAAAAAGTACAGTCCGAAAAAAAAAGAAGAGAAAAAAAAGAGAGAGAGACACATGACTAGCCCCTCTCTCTACAGCCAGAGGTCTCCCTGAAGCGGCAGATCACGCGAGCTGCTACCGACAAACACCTTCTTCGGCGCATCCGTCACGACCCAGTCCTGCTTGGCGACATCCCAGTTGGACAGGTCACGACGGGTCAGGTCGGCCGTGAACTTGACCGACTGGCCGGGCGCGATACCCTCGATGCGCTCGAAGCCGCGGAGGACGCGGACGGGCTCCCCCTCGCCACCGAGGGAGACGTAGAGCTGGGGCACGGCGTCGCCGACGGCCTTGCCGTTGTTGGTGATGGTCGCCTCGACCGTGACGAGCACGTCCCAGAGCTGCGGGTTGCCGCCGTTGGGGCCGGATGCGGGGGCGAGGGGCTGGGGGCTGCCGTCGAGGGCACCTTCGGGGAGGAACTCGGAGGCTTCCCTCCCGTAGTCGGTCGAGTTGGAGGCCTCGGCGGCGTCGGTCGACGACAGGTACGGGTAGATGAAGAGCTTGAGAGGGTTGAAGCCCTCCGGGAACAGGTAGTCGGACAGGTCCCGGCTGTAGCCGCCAAACGAGGGGGCCGCCATGGTCTCGCCCGTCGTGGGCTCGTAGGCGCGGGCGTTGCGCGGGGTCACCTGCAGGTTCGCGTACTCAAACGTGGTCCACGAGAGGCCGTAGCCGAACTCGTAGATGGGGGCGCCCACGTCGCCCTTATTAGGGGCCACGCGGTCAAAGTGGCGGTAGTCGATGAAGACGCCCTCGCTGAAGTCGTCCTGGGGGGCGGCGCGGCCGCGGTTGGGCTTCGTGATGATCTCGGTGCCGTAGCTCTCCTCGCTGGGGCCCCAGGTGAAGGGCAGGCGGCCGGGGCTCGTCTTGCCGTACAGGATGTCGGTGATGGAGTTGCCCGACTCCTGGCCGGGGGGGCCGGACCACAGGATGGCCGTGATGTTGGGGTTCTCGTACCACCCGGTCACGTCGACGGCGCCGGGGGTGTGCATGACGACGACGGTGTTGGGGTTGAGAGAGGAGACGTTCCTGACGAGCTCGTCGCCGTCCGCCCAGAGGGTGAAGTTCTTGCGGTCGCCGATGTTGCCGTCGACGTCCAGGTAGCCCTCGCCGGACTGGGCGTGGACGAAGACGATGGGGATGGCGTCCTGGTCGGTGACCAGGGCCTCGGTAGACGTCCACTCGTAGTTGCTCAGCACGCTCTCGTACCGCGTGCCGTCGGCGACGGCCTGGTTCTGCAGCGCCGTGTCGGGAGTGACGAGGTAGGGGAACTCGGCAGTGCCAGAGCCCCAGCCCATGGCGAAGGTGCCGTCGGAGCAGCCGCGGTCGGGGCAGCCGTTGGGACCGAGGGAGTTGGGACCGGCGTCGCCGCCGATGACGGCGACAAACTTGGGCCTGCACAGAGGCAGCGAGCCGTTGGTGTTCTTGAGCAGGACGGTGCCCTTGGCGGCGGATTCGCGGATGTGCCCGGCGTGGCCGCGAGTGACGTCTACCCGCTTGTTGACCTCGCCCCAGCCGGCCTCGGCGGCGGGGTGGAGGTAGCCGTAGCGGTCGTCGACGAAGCTGGCAAAGTTGATGTCGGGCTCGCCCTGGACGGTGCGGCCGACCTTGAAGAAGGCGGCCATGATGCGCATGACCATGTCGTCGAGACGGTGCTCGGCGACGGTGCCGTTGAGGACGGAGAGGGTCAGGTTGGCGCCCCAGTAGCTGTCGCCGGAGTTGAAGACGATGTCGCCGGGCATGGACATGTCGAGGCCGGCGGCGGCGGCGCTGGCGCCCGAGTGGTGGGCGGCCCAGTCGGACATGACGAAGCCCTGGTAGCCCATCTCACCCTTGAGGATGCCGTTGAGCAGCTTGGAGTTCTGGCAGCCGTACGAGTTGTTGACCTGGTTGTAGGAGCACATGAAGGAGCCGACGCCGGCGTGCACGGTGTCGACGAAGGGCCAGTTGTAGACCTCGTGCATGGTCTTGTCGTCAACGTTGGCGGAGATGGCCTCGTCGATCTCGTAGCCGGTCAGGGCGGCGTCCGAGACCTGGCGGAAGTGCTCCTGCTCATTGGCGATGTAGTGCTTGGCGCAGGCAATGACGCCGGCCTTCTGGATACCCTCGACGGCCTTGGCAGCCTCCTGCCCGAGGAGATAGGGGTCGACCGCGAAGCCCTCCCAGTTGCGGCCGCCCAGGGGGGAGCGGCCGAGAGGGCCGAGGGAAGGGCCGAGCATGATGTCGATGCCCTTGTCACGGAACTCCCGGCCGATGGCCAGGCCGCGTTCGTAGATGATCCGGCGGCTCCACGTAGCACCGGCGGCGAGACCGGCGGGGAAAGCGCTGTTGTAGTCGCTCATGCGGACACCCAGAGGGCCGTCCTGCAGGCAGAGACCGCGCATGCCCAGGCGGGGGACGCCACCGGTGTTGCCGACGCAGCGCTCGCTCTCCCATCTGCAGAGTGGCGGTCAGCAAGACAGCTTCATGGAAGGGTCCCTGTACGGGTTATCCGCGCGGAGAGAACTCACCCGACGCCGGTCGTGATGTTGACCTTCTCGAGAAGGCTCAGCTGGGAGACAAAGTCCCTGGCCATGGTGTAGGCCACCTCCCAACCGGGCGCCCCGGGGTCCATCCATGGCGAAGGGTAGACGGGCGGCGAGTAGGCCGAACCGTTGTAGGCACCGATCTGTGCGAGCTGCGGCGGCAGTTGGGGTGTGACGACTGCGGCGTCAGTCAACGTGATCTGAGAAGCTTGAAGGGCAAGCAGCGAAAGAAATGTGAGGTGACCCATGATTGCGTTCCTGTCAAGAGGGCTTCTTGCCGCAAGAGGAAGAATACTCTGTAACGAGAATGCGAGAGCAACAAGGAAGAGGGAGAGATAGGTCCTGGACAGGAGAAGGAGAACAGAAGAACCAGGACCACCAGGATGCGGTAGGAGGAAAGGAGGGTTACGGATAGAAATATGCAAGGAGATGTGTGCCACAAAAAAAAAACCAAAAAAAAAAAAAAAAAAAAAAGAATTGGCGATGTGTCAAGAAGGAGAAGGAGAAGATAAGAACCGAAACAAAACAGCGGAAGCCGACATGAGTGAGTCAAGACGGCAGGAGCTATGGCATTCCCTTCTTCAACACATTTTGGGCAAGTGAATCAATGCGAGATTGGTGAGACACTGTGTAGGGGGGGGAACTGTGAAGAGAGGCAGGGTTGAGCGATGGATATGAGAAGAGTTCCAAGAGAGCTTGTCTCGAAAGAGTACTTGTTGATGAGATGAGGGAGAGGTGAAGAAGATGAAGAAGAAGAGGGAGATGGCGGAGAGGAGGGGGAAAAGGAGGAGGAGGAGGAGGAGGAGGAGGCGGTATGTGCGTATGACGACGATGATGAGATGGTGTCTTCATGAGGTGAGACCAACACGATGACTTACCGGACCAGCCTCGAGGCCAGCAGCCAAGAAGGCAGCGGCCACGAGAGCAGAAGTCTTCATGGCGAGGCGATGAGAGAGAGAGAGAAGAGTGACGGGGAGGTGATGAGCAAACAACTATGCTCGTAGCATGATGATCAGCGATCGGATGAAACGGGAAAAGGGGGAGGGGGGGAGGTTAGGAGAGACATGGAGTAGTTTAAATAACAATGTTACCACACTCGGGACATGCCACATGCCATCACGATGGTTCTGCAATGTTCCGGATATCAATGCCTGTATCCATACCCACGCATGCACGGTAGGCTGTAGCAGCGGTAAGTTATTACTGCCAGGTGGGAATAGGACCGTCCATCCTTGTCAACCCTCCCTCCCCCTTCTTCAGGACGCTCCCTCCCTCCCCCCGAGGTTCCATTACATGCACGAGCAAGGGTTGTCGCATCCTTCCGTCACCCGTGGGGCTCTGGTGACGATCGAAGCCTCGGAGGTACCACAGTTAATCTGCCCGGCATGCGTAGAAGTCTGTACAGATCAATATGTAGAGGGAGGAGAGCTTGGGCGGTGCTCGACGCTCAACCGAGCACTGTCTGATCGGACCGTATCTGGACCGTATCTGGACTGTGTTTCGGGGTACGAGATTGAACGGTGACGTACAGTCCAGAGCGAGATTCTTCTCACTGTGATTCAGCCTCTGATGACGGGCTTACAGTATTATGGGACCATTGTTCAATTGTTTATGATTTTTATTTTCAAGTTTTATTACGACTGCTCGTACTCGTCCGCCTGCTCAGCATTATTGCTCTGTGCTCACTATCAACATGCTGTATTATAATCCGTACATGATACATGATACTACGAACTGACGATACGTGGCAAATCTGTCGTTCCGTGATGCCTACTGTACTACCTACTACTACCTACTACCGGTAGTCGGTAGTCAGTAGTCAGTCGCTCATCAATACTCCATCGTGCATTACAGCGTGTGGTGTCGGGGGGGGGGGGGGGGGACGGAGCGATAGTCTTTACAGTGGACATCTAGTGGAACTTGGCGGACGTGATTGGTGGGCAAGGATACGTCTAGTACAGCAGTGATACTTTTTACATGCAGATAGTATACCGGAGTATTATTAGAGTAGTATGTATATTATCACCCACAGTATCCATCCGTACGGATAATACATACTTAATAAGAAAATAGCAGACATCAACTATCACTGACAGTCGACCGAGACAGCGGTATATCCATAGTTTACCCATCGGATCCACATCGACCAGCTCTCCCAGCGCTCCAGTTCATACTTACTCCACGATGCCACGGGGCGGCAGGGGGGGGGGGGGTTAATAGGGTTAATAGTAATGAATATCAGTTATTCACGACTTTCTCCAATCTCCAACTCAGCCACTCAACCTGTTCAGACTCCAACCTGTTCAGACTCCACTACGAGTCGACCCCCGTCTTTCTTTTCTCACCTTACTATGCATCGTCATCATCTTCCCTCCGACCCTTCACATGCATCTCTCCTGCCTTTACGAGGAATGGAAGGGTAGTAGGAGGTTGGCCTCTCAGCTTACTCTGATACCTACCACCCTACCCAGCACAATACTGCTCGTGATAACATAGCCATGGTGATGTCTACGACGAGGGATTTTCTTTCCATCGCTCTTCTCTCCATGTCTGGTAATAGCATCTGAATGCTCTGTATAGGTACGGGTGATACCTCGTCGAATATTGCTTCGTCCATATCCCTCAACCGCTCCCCCGCTTCTCTTGGCAGAGAGGAGCACCGCTTCTTATTACCCGGATGGTCGTGTCGTGCTGGATGCATGTACGGATCACATCACCGTCCTGCCAGCCGAGTCACAGCATGCTCAGACGTACGGCTCTCCCCAGCTCTTCAACAGCTAGCTGAGCGGCATATGTTGGGTGGCTGGCAGCTGTGAATGGCACTTCCTAGCTCCTACGAGCAATGCCGAGCTTTCATACGACCAGAAGCCCCCTCCTAGACGATCAAGAAGCTCGCCCCGCATCTCGGTACTCCAAAAAATCCAGAGCCGACGTCCCGTTCCACTCTTACGTTACGAGTAGCTCCAGCCTCCCTCCCTCCCCTTGCCAAGCTTGACCTCCTCCTCCTCCACCGCCGCCGCCATCAC